ATACAGTATATATATATATATATATATATATAAATTGTCATTGTTATAGTTGATCATCTTTTCACGAAAGTCGTAAAAAGAGAAAAAGAGAAAAGACCGACACAAAAAATATGAGAGAGAGAATCGAGTACTTGTAGCAAAAGGGGGGCTTGATAGACAGTAGATATCCACTCAGTCGTGCTGCTTCGTTACTTTGGCCCCATTTGACAATTAAACCCCGGGCACCAATGGAGATAATGACAAAACGAGCCACTCTGCGCCCCAAGGAGTTATGGGATGTCACTGTCAGGCTGTCACATGACCTACAGGCTTCAAAGCAGAAACGCACAAGCACACACACGCAATGTACACACTCTCTGTGAAACGCATTGGCCGAGCTTAGCTTATAGGAAGCCTAATCGAAAACATATTTTTGTTCCCCAGCACTAGGGGTCACTGAGCACACATTGCCAATGCGGCATATGCTCCGCTGGACAGAAGAGGCCGTGGATAAGTGCACTGGGAGTATGCTCATTTGAACAATGGTCGCTATTAGCTGATGGGGATGTTCACAAATGCTCACCGGCCCACTTAATTGGGCTAAAACGTCCATTCAAATTAAATTCCTCGGGTGCGGAGATAACGACATCGTCCAATTCTGCGGAACAACGACAGGGCTGTCGGATGAGAAGGCTTTTCATATACAGTATAAAGAGCACTCTCAGCAGGCTTTGGTGAACATTATGTGAGAGTCAGATTGTAACAAGAGATTCTATAATTTAAGGAACGAAGGAGGACAGTCGAGGGTACAGTTGAAAGTGCTGGAAGTCAGAGAGACAAATCCCAGGAATGGCCAATAAAACCTCGTCATTGCTGAACCACTGATCGGGCTCTGAATTGAATATCAGGCAAGATAAAGATGAGGAGAAGAAAATTGAACTTCCAATTATGCAGAAGCAGGTTTCAGCATCTCCTTTCATACTCGTGTCTCTCATGTAAATAAGTCTCTTTTTTTTTCCAAGATACAAACTCAGGCAACATGACTGGGCTACCAAAGAAGATAAAGAGAAATGCTCCATTTTGAAATCTGAGCCCTTTGATGGAGCAGAGACTGGCCGTGGATGACGGATGGATAATTGAGAGACAACTGGGAGACAGAAAGACGGAGGGAAGAGAAAGGGAGTAGAAACGAGGGAACACAAGATGGAGGTGTTTATTCTTTTAAGCCATTGGCTTGGGCAGGTGAGAACATTTGAAATACAGCGCAAGTTTTTCAAAATGTCTCTCATTATTCGGTCAAATTAAGACCTTGAAGAAAGAATATAATCCAAACCATCTAGTGGAAAACTAACAATGGAGGTAACTCACCTCTAATATGTTTGGATGTTTCCAAAACTGGAAATGTGCTGCTTGTAAACCCATGTCACTTTTATATATATCTGGTTTTTGATTTTTTTAAACAAATCATGGCTTAGTATTGGCATTGGGAACTTAATTGAATCATATACAACATACAGAAAAAAAGCAAACTATAATTCAGACCAATTACAACAAACTGTAGATCGCATTGTGGCCTAGATAACAGAAGGCTAAATAACAGAAAGACAGACCGATAGATAATGGGTTTGAAGAAGGAGGCAGGAGGAAGATGGAGAAGCCTTAGAGAATGAGTTTGGGATCGAATGTGCTCTGTTGTTAACACCAGGCTTTATCTCGGATGAAAACCAGACGGAAAGTGAGACAGAAGAGAAAGCAGGTCAAAACCCAGGATAACCTAAAAACAGGATTTGTTTTCAACATAGAAAGTCCAAAAACAGACATCATTCTCTAACTGTTTGTTATTCATAAATGGCTAATTGTTACATGAGGACATGGCGCACACACACATACATGGCTTGCAGGTAGTTATGGAAGGCACATAATGTCAAACAGAATGACGTGGGAGTACTTCACGGACATATATGCGGCAGCATGAATTCAAATTTGAAGTTGCATCATGTGCGAATAGTTCATCTCTGTGTAGGCGGTACGCATGTGTGTGCCAGTCTTACAATCAGCTTTCACTATATAAGTTATGTGTTTATTAAAACCGATAACTGCACACGTTTTGTCTGACATGGGTAAAACATGTTCACTGTAAAATAAGAATGTGTTAAAAAGGAAGGTCTTCTGCAGGTGTGTGTCTTTATTTGCTTCATGAAATAGCAGTTGGCCAATATGAGCTTTTGACAGCCAATAACGGTTTTGTGGGATTAGAGCAGGTGCTAACGAACATTATTTGCCAAATTTCAAAATTTGCTTTCCATTTCAGTAGGTTGCAAAAATGAGGATTTTGAAGTTCCTGCAAAACTTTGTTGTTCGGAGGATAAAAACTTGAAATTGCATTACAGCGGCCTCCATGAATTTGTATGGAGGTAAGTAGCTTCTTCAAATTCTGTTCTTTTTCTACAACTCTGAAACCTTTGGACTGGCCTGATGTTGTACTCACTACTGGCATTGCAAAGACAACAGACATAAGTCTCCACTGTCTTAGAATGCGAATCCAATTAAGCCAAGAAAGCACAAACCGTTGTTGGATGTTTTGCAGGCCAGTTTTTATCCAACAATCAAAAGCAGTTATTTGGAGGTGTAAATAAAGAACATTAACTATTGCTATCTCAATAATCCATGATGTACTCGTAATGCAGAGCTATTTGTGCTTTTACTTTCCTATTTATTTTGTCGTTAAGGGGGGCCGCTGGGTGAAAACGCTTAGACTACGTTGAACAGGTGTATCCAAAATCTCTAGTCAGTCTCTCGTAACACAATGTTGTATTAACCCACGACCCAAGCTGTAAAATACCAGTTTTCCTTAAAGGCAAAACTAGGAAGGTCTCTTTGCAAGATTGACAGGCTGTCACACCTACAGCTCCTTCACATCTTTGATATCGTCAGCGACAATTAAAATCTATTTTCTACAGAAAGTCCAATGTGGACAAATTCGGCCAAACATGTTGTGAATACAGTATACCTGTTAAACTACACCTACAGAGGTTGCTCAATTTTACAATGAGACCGTTCATGTTCCTCAGTGTATGTGTTGTGTGTCCTTCCTGTACCTGGAGTTTGGAAGTTGATGCGTCTCATCTCCACAGGGTCTGTAGGGTGGTGGGGTGTAATGTCTGCGTTGTTCAGCAGACATTTCGTGCGCGGCTCTGACTCTTTTCTCTTGCGGCTGGAAAGCAAGACAAACAAAGAGTGGAAAGAGGGGACAACGTACAACAAAAAACAACAACTTTTAGTGAGCAGTTGATCAAGCAAAACAGTTACTACTCTTACTAATGATGATACGTAAACAACTCAGCAACTCCAACTGACTGACAATGCAGCGGGTCAAGAAACGCTTGAGTGAAACCCAATCAAAAACAGGTGAGCTGAAAAAATCTCTGTATCAGGTGCGGAAAATTCTCCTTCACCTTCACTAATTAAAGGCATTGTTTTTGCTGCGGCAGGCTATTTTGTCTTCCCCTGTATAAGGCAATAAAGTACGGCTAAACCTTACCTGTCAGGTTTGCTGTTTCCAGAGAAAGCAATAGGAGTCAAATAAATATATAAAGATGGTGAAAACACAACACACAAGGAGAAAGGGAGAGGGGGGAGGCAAGAAGAGAGATAAATCAATAGAGAGCAGTTTAAAATTCACAGGGGTCGCTGCTGGGCTCGCAAAATGCGAGATAAAGCTCATCAGCATTTGGAGGTGAGTGCATGCGTGTGTGTGTGTGTGTGTGTGTGTGTGTGCACATGTATCAGTGTGTGAGAACAAGTGAGTGTGTGTTCAATAAAATGTGCAAGTAAGTGCATATATTGGTGAGCCTGTGTCTGGGTGCCTATTTACGCGTGTGTGCATGTGTGTGTGTGTGTGTGTGTGTGTGTGTGTGTGTGTGTGAGGGTGCAGATATAGATAGGTAAGGGGAATGTCAGGGCCAAGGGCAGACCCGGAAAACACTATTCACCAGGGAGAGATTGAGAGGGAGATGGGAGAGTGAGGGGGACAGAAAGAGAAGAGAGAACAGAGAGAGAGAGAGATCCAAGGAGAGATGTTACTCTCCCTAACCACAAAGACTGACCTAAGGCAAGGTCAGACAGTCAAGGATCATCTGACAGTAGCAATCTGTACTTGTGTTGCTCACACCAGCCCCCCGTGAAATAAGTCAGGGATCTTCCCTGGTATGTAAGGCAACCCTCTCCAGTCACTGAGACCTAAGCTACAACTAACTGTAAAATAAAGTGGGGAAATATTAACTGTAGACGGATGTTTGGAAGTACATTTATTTAGACAGGAGGAGAGCTGTTGTTGTTCATTAGGCATAAATGCAGAGCTTGATTTCCACTACTAGAAAATAGGGTCACTCACTCCTGAAAAATTATTAATAACATAAATCTAACAATAACTTTAAGGAGCATTATTTCCTGAAGAAATAGGTATTTCTGTGACACCCCTCGATTGGTAGATTGTAGCATTCTTAGTTCAGCTGTTGAGCACCATCTCAAGGAATCTCCTCCTCTCTCCTTTCTCCAACCACCTCAATTCCCCCAACCATCTTTTTTCACAAGAAAAGCTCTTTCATATTTACATGCAACAATGTTGTGGGTTTTTTTTTTTAAAACATGCTTAATACAGAATACAGCCCACCCCCTTTCAACATGCTCCCTAACATGCAATTATTTTCCAACAGCCCAATTCCCCTGTAACACTGTAAATAACTTGTTCAACATCAAAAGACAGGAACATGTTCATTATGTGTTGCTGGAATTAGAAAGAACACTGAGATTTACCCTGATTCAGTTAAAACATGGATTGCAGTTATATTGCTTGTGTAAAGGAGTGGGTGGAGCAAGGCACCAACGATGCAAAGCTAAAGGGCTCAATTCCCTGGTACCTTGACAAGAAAATGGTTGTAAAAGTTTCCAGAATAAAGCATTTTATACTGGCCACACACTACAAAAATAGCAGTGCCTTGTATACAAACCCTGAGTGTTATTGTCTATCATTTGATGTTGAACAATGTTATTTTAAACCGCAAGGTCCAACTGCATTCTTCACAAAAACTACAATTCCCAAACCAACTCACTTTTTATATAGGAGAATGGCAATGACGATGCATATGATGAAGACCACGGCGAGGACTGGGCCCACCACCCATATGAGTCCGTCACCAGTCTCTACTTGCAGGGGTTCCATTTCCATCTTGGGAGTCATCACCGTGTCGGTATAAGGGCTGGTAGCAAACATTTTCTGAACAGAAAGATCAGGGAGAAGTTTACATAGCACTTTAAAAACACAGTCCAAGTTACAGCGTGGTATATGCACAAGATGAACGAAATTCAGTGACTTAGCGGCAGAAACTGGACAAAAATGAAATGTGTTAGATTCAGATGAGCAAACCTGAAGTGAACTACTACTAAATGAACGGAAGTGAATTATTAAATCCACTCCGACAAAAAAGCAATTGACTAAAAGTAAGTCAACTGAACTGTGTTGAACTGAGCTAAACTAGTAACTCACCCCAGTGGCATTGAGTTCAGCCAACAGGAAGAAGACATACTCCTGGCCAGGTTCAAGAGGCTTGTTCTCACAGCTGCTGTGGCGGTAGTCGGATCCCACCGTGAAGCTGGAGGGCAGCTGCCTGAAGCAGGCTGTGATGTAGGGCTTCCTCTGGTCCAGCTGAGCTAGCTGACGGCGTGAACGTCGCTTTGGGGTCACCTCCCGCAACAGCTGATTGATGAAAAACGGGCATTAGTTTGCCTCTGCTTTTTTATGTGTTCATTTTGGTATCCTCTAGGTATCCCCTCATTGCAGTTCCTGTTGACAACAAGCTACGTCTGGGCTCATAATGTTTTCTGATGCTGTCAAATGTTTGTTTAAAATCTGCAGTGTTTTGTAGACAACAGATTAAAAAGACCAAGGGAGGCAGATGCTTCCAATGATGAAAAAAGAGAAACACACAAAATAACATGAGATCAGTAAGTCAAGCCTTTAATTCTGAGAACTATTAGAGTATATGTATGTGGTATGGTGAATAAATTAAGAAACTATTCAACCCCCACAAATACATATTTGCAATGTGGCAGGATTACAGGTTATCACATTTTTCCAATAAATAAAGCACTTTCTTTTCTGCACAATAACGAACTGAACTAACAAAGACCAAAGAAAACGGAGTAGAGGTAACTGCACCCTTAGATTCAAACAGCTGCTAAGTCTCTGGCAATGTTCCATCTAACCAGGCTCCAACAACCCCCCCTCCCCAACATCCAACCCCTCTCATTCATTTCAAACTGCAGACAGAGGCAGGCACTAAGCAGAGGAAATGTGTGTAATCCCAAATCCAATAGGGATGGTTGCTGTTGATCTGGCGCTCAAGGTGACCTGGAGCTATGGTAAGATGGTAAGAGTGGGAGAGGACTGTGTAATTCTCTCTCTGCTGCATGCTTGGGGGGGATGAATTAGCATAGCTGAGATGTACTTATGTTTGTGTTGTGTGTGCCCATGTCTGGTACATGGTGTGCACAGTACAATTTGCCCAGCATATCCAACTGTCATTACCCAAACAAGTGTCTCTTGAATCCCTCCCTAGAAACACACAGTTTTGCCAGTAGAGCGAGAGGAATATAGTTTCTTCAAAAAAGAATGTATTACTGACGTTTTGAAGTAGCATCTACCTATTAAATATGCCTACGTATGCTCTGTTTGACCCGGTATACACAATTAACCTAATCATTTATTTTGTGCCCGAAAAGGCTCACATCTTTTGCTTTTAAAATATCTTACCTCTTCCATGTCCATCTCATCTGGGTTCTTCAGGTTTTTGACAGATCCTGAGGTCCTCTTAAGTGGCACCACAACCACATAGAAGTTCCTGGAAACACAGCACCAAAGTAAATTAAAGCATTTGTCACATGGTTGACAGGAAAATGAAGTAAAAATTCAATACTTGCGAGTGGTTGAGCAAAGTGTCTCAGAAATCCTAAAGCTTAATCTCCAATTCCAACATCTCAGACATCTTGAGATCGCAATCCATATTACATCGGATCTCAAACATCTCAAGACTTAAACCTAAATACCCCAACCCTCAAAGATAATTCAGACAGAGCCTGCAGAACCCATCTTTCAGAAAGCTTTACTCACTTGACATCCTTGGTATCGACCGGTGGGAAGGACATGGTGAGAATGTTGTCGGGCTCAGCATAGATGTCCAGCTTGGGTTTCTTGAGCAGGATGAGAGGTGCGGTCTTGGCAACCACACGGTGTCTTGGTCCACCGTCAATGCTTTCTTGGCAGGTCACCCTGAACTCGTAGGTGGTGTTGTGCTTTAGCCCAGTGACGAGAACCCTCATCTGCCTGGCATCCACATCCATCTTTTGACGGTTGTACTCAATCTACAGATAGTAGATGGTCCAGACATGTAATCGATAATTGGTAGGAGGGATAGTTGGATGCATGATCGTGGTGGTAGGTCAATACATTGGTGGTGTAATAGACAGGTAAGAATGCATGTGCATTGTGGTGATTACATGAGTCAAGAAATGGGTATGTTGGAAATAAGAATGATTGGGAGTTGAATTAATGCACGGAAATAAACAAATGCACTAAAACATGGCACTAGTGTAAAATCAAGCTATTTTCAATTTCAGACCAACAGATGAAAATCACTTCTAAATTTTAGAGATGGATTTTAAGGGATGATTTTTACATTAATACGTAACTGAGCGGACAGTTAAAAGTCTTTTATTTTGCCCTACATTAAACTCACCGTGCATTTGTATGGAGACCTGCTTTCAGAGAACTTCCATGCAATGACTACTGTGGTTTTGGTGGCCCACTTGACAGTGAAATTCTTTGGAACATCTGTTGAGTTGACAAATGCAAGAAAAAAACCAAAAAAAAGACAGAGCAACTTTAGTAACTTGAACATGTAGAGAGACCAAGGAAAGAGAAACAAAAGAAGAACCTTTGGTTTAAATAATAAAAGCTCTTGTTCCCCTGCAACGTTCCTTTGGGTTGGAGAGTGAGTGTAACGGTGAGCTGCGATTGGTTGTGAGAACGGCAACTGCCATTGGTTAAGACACACAGCACGTAAGACTCATGGATGACAAACCCATGGAGCACAAGGGTGTACCCACTGGCTAGCCATCATGGGCAGTGCCAACCCATCTCAACACTGTCTTTGAACCCATGACCACTTGAGGATTAACAACTGACCTATGTGGTCCCAGTGCCAACTGTTCCTACGCCTCCACTGAGTCTGGGTTGACACTGCCAATGTGCTGCCAGGCGGGCATAGAGACAGACTCAAAACACAGCATGCCAACAGTCCTTAGCAGTGCATCTGGGGGATGCCATGCCACAAACTGTCCTACTAAGGGACAGAGGAAGGGGAAAAGAGGAATTAGGAAAGGAAAGGGGTGAGGGGGAGGATATCTCAAAACAAACCCAAAACCCAAAATAAAATAAAGAACTTTCCGTCATTTTCTTAGAATAGTCTAAACATACTCTTGGAGTGACTTGATTTGACTGAGGTCCTACCTTGATTGCAAACTGAGGATGTGAGATGGCTTTAGCTGCGTGAGTGTGCTTGGCAAAGGGCTGCAAGGATGACTGACAGGAGTGTCTGACCAAACAGCACTTACCTTGATATTTTAGGCTGCTCCCCTCTTTCCCAAATGACTGACTATAACTTACTGACTTGGCTTTACCTTGTTTGGGTTAGTGAAGTGAGTATCCCACGGCAAACTATTTTAATATCAATCTTTTCTCGTTCTTGAGGAGAAGTGGAGATGGTTGAAGGAGGGGGTGGCTTAGTTTTGATTTTTGTGTTTTTTTTTTTTGCCAATTTCCAACCCCCTGCCAACCGGGTTGGAGAAGAAACAGACAAGTCCTACCTGGATCAAAGGCCACCGTCCGATACTGGATAGGCGGGCTGTAGGGCCCTGGACCTACAATGGTGTGCGCACGTATTTTCACATCGTACGCCGAGTTCGGTTTGAGGCTGTTGAGAACATAGCTGGACTGGCTGGGGGGAAAGCGGAGCTCCAGCGGTGCTCCTCCTGTACCGGCTTCCTTATAGGCCAACGTGTACTCTGTGATTACCCCGTTTCTCTCCGCCAGCACGGGAGGAGACCAGGACAGCCGCACTGAGCAGCATGTCACGTTGGAACCCTCATCAATTTGAGGGTATCCCCCTGGCGTCTTCTCGGGCACACTGAGTTCTACCAAAGCCTCTTCCCCAAAGCCCCCCCTGCTCTTGGCGGAAACTTTAAAGAGATAAGTGGCCCCCCGGTGAATGTTGCCCACAGAGTACTGTCGTTCTTGGGGAGCAAATTCCAGTGTGGCCAAAGGAGAGACATCTTTCCGGCCAAACTGGAGCCGGTAACCCTGCAGGTCCATGCCATTGGTGAGATCTGGAGGGTCCCAGCGAACCACAGCTGATGTTTCTGAGTCCTGTGCCACCGACAGATAGGGAAGACCAGGCACTGTACAGACAAAGAAATAAAACAAATCTTAGTTTCTATGCTTTCCAGTTATATAAAGATGAATAAGTGACAGGCTTTAATACTATACATGTAGATATTTATCACAAACTGAACCGACACCAGGGATACTACAGCTGTAGCTGTATTGAGGAAACTACTAGTACTTTTCACAAGGCAAACACCACTTTTGTTATCCTATTCCTGTAGGGTCACTTGAAAAAAAACAAAAAATCTGTTCTGCTGACGCATTATTTAGCGTTTAGCAAACAAATACCTGCATTAGACCTGTGCAATTATACTGTAAGAGTGGACATGGACTGCCAAAACATGACTATAGCAAATGTAAACAGAGTACAGAATCTGCACTTCAGTCATAATTGTAATTTCAACCATCCATCAGATCCATCCACCCTAACAAACTGAGTCAGGTTGAGTTGGATGGAGACGTCGAAGATCCTCAGAGACTCTAAATTCTTGAGTGATCGCTGGACCATTACCATTTCATGATACATGTAAGCTCCAGCCAAAATTGGTACTGCAAAGCATCACTAAAACTTTAAGCAGAGAACAGTGCCTCTTTCAGCTGTAAGAGTCATCTCTTGTTGTAAAATGGATGATCTACACTCGGGGTCTAGACACCATTCTTCAGAGTGGCCCAGTTTTGGTGCTCTTATGGATGACAAACATCTCATCTTAACTCTCCCTTTAAGGCCCCATCCGTGGGATGGAGGCTGCAGCAGTTATGGGAAGCCTTCAGTTTCAAGTTGCCGTCAAAGCTCTGTGAGAGATGAGTGTTGCTGATTCACACTTGAGCCCCCATCTCTCTGTAAACAGATTCCATCTTTGACTCGCTCATCTACGTCCCTCTTTTTTTTCAGAAATACAATACTTTGGATTCATAATAGTAAGCGGGCACTTACTATGCAAAGTGAAATCACGGTTCTGAGCAGTGAAGACAATGCGGAAGTGCCTTAAACTTGCATTCATATTAATAGCCAGCAGGGGTGACTTCTCTGGTTGCAAAAGGAAGTCTAATGGTAAAGAAGTCTATCTAAGTCTACCATTGTAAACACGAGTGTATGGTCTCAATCACAAGTCTTCTTCATTACAGCATGACGTTCATTTTGTAAAGTATGGTCCCATTACAGAGTAAAATAAACAATAAAGCAGGGTATGCTTTAGGGCGAGCTACATTGTGATTGACAAGTTGCTAGGGGCAGCAGGAACGAACTCAAAGGAAACTTAACCAAACTTTTTCTGGGGTCTCAGATTATTTATTTTGTTTGGCCGACAACTGAGAAAAATTGACTGACAATCTTTCAGGGAACAACTTTCCATCGTATATTTGAGTTGGTCAATTTGAGTCAAGTGATATCTGAGAAATTCTACTGAACAGAAAATCTTAATGAATAAATTCTATTGATTTTTCTAAGCCAGGGTGTGTTTTTTCGTGTGCTGGAGGTCTTTTTCTTCTTATCTAGCATCTGCTACCACCAATCTCCTTATTTATTTAGTGAATTTGAGAATAAAGTGAATCTGACACCAAAATGAATGGAAATATCTTGGATTTAAAACATTTATAACAACGCATAACGATACATTTATAAACAAATACGGGATCAGCATTATAGCTGAAAGGTTACATATCACAAAAGTGTTACACCCGGATGAATGATATAAACAACAATGACAGTTTATTAACCATTATCAATTTAATTTCATGCCTCTGTATGAGATTGTGAGACCATTCGTGAGAAGATTGGCAATCTCTGTATATTTCTGATTCAAAAAGCTTGCCAAGTGGGTCGGCAAACTGGGTCGGCAGCAAATTGGTTTGCCCTGGCAGTGAGAGCTTTCTCAGCATAAATTAAAAACGCTGAATAAGCCGAATACAAATTATTAACTCTATTTCAAATGTGTAGCATCAATTTCATCATTATCGTAAGCAGCTGCTATTATGGATACATTTGCCTTCTTCATCACTATACATCCAGTTTATTAACCGTTACTGTACATGCATTCATATTGCAGCATCTATTTGGGCCTTTTTTCTTACAGTTTTTGTCTTATGTACATCTGCTTGTGTGTATCTTTGTGCATAATGGGCAGTGTGCATGTGTTGATGTGTGTGATGGTATACAGTAGGTTGGGCAGCCAGCTCCAGCACACCCTTCCACCTGCACACAGAGCTCTTTGGCTTTTTGCCCAGTATGGACTTAAAGTAATTTGGAGGAGCCAACATTAGTCTGAGGCAAACGTACGTCTTCTCAGTGGAATAGTATCATTTTCCGTGTGTGTGTGTCTGTGTACATGTACCTACATATAGCATGTGTTCCTGCGGCAAGATGCAGGTCATAATGTACGCGTAGTGAACCACACACACACAAAGCAATCCACTCTACACAGTCCACTCCCTTTGCTCGTATTGTTCATTTCCGTTTGCTAATGGTCTTCTTTCTGAGGGTTGTTGCGAGAGGAAGACGGGGGTTTGGTGGGTGGATGGTGGCTAGTCGGCTGAGTCTTTGCCGGTAATGGAAAGGCGGGGGCGCCGAGTGTTGGGTGAGACGAATGCTCCTAATACTCTCTGGGTACATACTATAGCTCAGCTTGGTGTCATTTAAAAGCCCACTCTGCCTTCATGTTCACCGCTAATCAAGGAAATAGAATCAGAGATAATGATCCTGTGTGTGTGTGTGTGTGCGTGGGTTTTCCATTCTAAATTTCTGTGCTTCGCTTCTAACCTCAACAGGTTCCCGAATGCATCCATTACAACCTTTGTGGCCCTGGAACTCTTTTATTATTTGTACATTTAACAGTGCACACTGGGAAGAGGGATCACAAGTACTGAGCCAGCAGATTGGTGTTGGGAGGAGGTGGGGTTGTTCGTGGTGTGCACAGTGTATTTGTTTGAGTTTGTGTGTAAGTGTGCTGCTACAGGTGATGAGAGAGAGAACCAGGGCATGGTAAGCGGGGGGGGGGGGGGGGGGGGGGGGGGGGGGG